GAAAATGAATTTGACCCAACTCCGGGAGGCAGTGGAAGACAGGAGGGTCTGGCGAGCTCTTGTGTGCATGGGGTCACAAATAGTCAGACACAATGACTAAACAACAGCAACAAAATGCTACTTTACAACTAGGGCAAATCCTCTGACACGATCATCTCACATTTACGTAAAGAGAAACTGAAGGCTGGTGATATTAAAAAGAGTGTTTGCATAATCAAGTATTATGAACAACCAGCCCATTTAATTACAAGTTATGTCATTACATTATGTCTTGTACTTTCTCAACTTTTTCTTCCTTCCTTCAAGACACCAGTGATTTGATTGCACAGCATGCAGGAATAAAGCAAATACAGCTGTTCCTAACATAAGGTTGCAGCAATGATGAGATGAATAAATGTATCTGTTGGGTTTCTGCCTGACCATGCCATTGTTCAGGGTGGAGGGACTATATCAGATGAAGACAAGAAGCTAAAAGTAAATGTTATGAATCTTCAACTTATACAAACCATAGTATGTATATAAAACATTAGAAAATTAACAAGAGCCAAGAAATGATTAACTAAAGTAGCATGAAGTGTAGCCTCTGGCCAGATGGATGGTATAAAAGTACAGTATAACCAACCAACCAAGTGGATACAAGAAATTAACATTTCCTTACCAATATGATTAGGCCCATAATGACTCACCAAGATGATTGAAATGGACGAACTCCAGGGGGCACTATGAGTTGAGCCAAGACTTCCTGATATGAAGACCAAGAGGCCTCTTCCTGCTGGAGTCCATAGGAAGCTGCCTAGTATCTGGTTATACAGTGTCCACAACCCATCATTGCATTTTCTGACTCAGCTCAGGCTGAGGTCTTTCCATCAACTGCTACCCAGGGCCAGCTCTACCATTAGGCAGAGTGAGACAGCTGCCTAAAGTGTTGGTGCTAGGGGAGCACAGGACAATCATAAGGTACTAGAGAGCTCCTGTATACCTCCTCAACTAGCTGGCTCTAGTCAAATACATTAGAAGGTGCTCCTGTCACCACTGTTGAAGTGTCGGTCCACTGTGGTTCTGGATATAGAGTGGAGGACCTCCTGTCTTTTGCCTTGGATAGCAAAATGTGTTGGGTTAATCCTGCTATTACCTGATCCTTTTTAAATTCTGGTTGCCAAAACTTGAACGTGGGGCATTCTTCATGCAAAGTACCTGCTATGCTGTAGCTGTACACATGCTATTGTGCTCTCTTTATCCTGGGACATGGACACTGGAAGAATTTCAAGACACATTTTGTTAGTGAAAGTTTTCCAAGAAAGTAAATCAGAATAAAAGTTTATATTCAGTACAACTGCAATTTGTTGTACTGAAGCCCTTGTAGTTTTGTTCAAAGGATGGGGAAAAAAAAGATTGACTTTGGAAAGCAAGGATGGAAGGAGAAGGGGAGAGAGAGAAACTAGAACTAGTACTAATACTTGTTCTTGGTGGTGTATCTTGAAATAAGACCTATCTTCTTAGGACTGACCATCTTTGGCTGTTGACATAGACTTACTTGGGCTTGCTTCGGCATCAGATCCATTGCATGCATTGGGTGCAAACATGTATAGAATCACATTGTGGGTAGTATACATTTTGTTGGTGTGCTAAAAAACTGGCTTTTCACACTGATAAAGCTCCTTTGCAAAAGGACAGAAGAACAGGCAACATCACATTCACATGTCAGTTCACTCTATGCCCCTCTACATGTATTATGGAAGACTTGATGTTAGTTGCCCCCAGTGTTTCTAATGTTGGCTGTCACTGGGAGAATATTATGTCATATATTTATTGATTGTACTGTGGTATTTCTGGAACAATCAAAGAGAAAGGGCACCATTATTCTTTTGAAACACATATGACCCTGTTGATTTAAGATTACTATTCTTAATTACCAGATTGTTCTGGTAGTTAATTAAATTTTAAAAACCCCAAAATGTGCATTATATATCCTTTTCTCTTTTGGAATTTCTAAGTCAACTTATACAAACTAATATTACTCATTTTTACTAACCTGTTCAGTTAAAGTGGGAGGATTTTGATACTCCACTCAATTACGTATCTTTGCAATTATTAGAAACGTATAAAATCCACCCTTTATCAGACATTTCAGGGCAGCTGACAAGCTACCTTGTGTCCTTTTAAGGAGAAAGGTGGGGTAAAGTTATTGTACATACATACATACATACATACATACATACATATATTAAAACAAGTAGAACAGCACTCCACTTTCATTCTTGGTAAGGAAATCTTGAGATATGTGTCTATTTCTATTACAGTGGACCCTTGACTTACAGACGGCTTGACTTACAGACTTTTCGAGTTACAGACTTCTCTGGCCACAAAATATAGGTTCAACTTGCAGCCAGAGACTCAACCTACAGACCAGAAAAAAACCAAAATGGAACAAAAATGGAACAAAAGCGGCTTGCTACAGGATTAATTGGTTTACAATGTATTGTAGGTCAATGGAGACTCGAGCTACAGTCTTTCCGACCTGCAGCCACCTTTCCAATACAGATTAATTCCGTAAGTAGAGGGTCCATTGTAGTCATAGTCATATTAGTCCGTGATGGATCAGGAAAGAGATCTTGATGTGCTGGTGGACAGCTCGATGAAAGTATCAACCCAGTATGTGGTGGCAGTGAAGAAGGCCAATTCCATGCGAGGTATCATTAAAAAGGAGATTGAAAATAAAACAGCCAATGTTACAATGCCATTATACAAAATGATGGCAAGGCTGCACCTGGAGTACAATTCTGGTTGCTGCACCTCAAAAAAGAAATAGTGGAACTGGAAAAGGTGCAGAAGAGAATGACTAAAATGATGACCGGGCTGGGACATCTCCCTTGTGAGGAAAGGCTACAGCGTTTGAGGCTCTTTAGTCTAGAGAAAAGGCACTGGGGGGGGAGGGGGGACATGATTAAGATGTATAAAATTATGCAGGGGAGTGGATAGAGGGGATTTCTTTTCCTGCTCATGTAATACCAGAAGCAGAGGACATCCACTCCAAATGATTGTTGAAAGAGTGAGAACAGACAAAAGAAAATATTTCTTTACCCAGTGTGTTCTTAGTCTGTGGAACTCCTTGCCACAGGATATGGTGATGGCATCTGGCCTAGATGCCTTTAAAAGAGGATTGGACAGATTTCTAGAGAAAAAGTCCATCACAGGCTACAAGCCATGATGGGGATATATAATCTCCAGGCTTAAAAGAAAGGTACTTCAAAATGCCAGATGCAGGGGAGGGATATCATAAAACAGGTATCTCATTGTCTCATGTGCTCCCAGAGGCATCTGGTGGGGCCACTGTGAGATACAGGAACCTGGACTAGATGGGCCCTTGGCCTGACCCAGCAGGGCTCTTCTTATGTTTTTGCCTTCTTAACTACTGAGGTGCTATATAAATAAAATAAATAGCATCCCTTCACAATTGTGCCCAGGCTGTTAGATTAGAGAGTATAATAGCAGGAAAGTCTGATTATGTCCGAACATGGGATGCTGATGATTCTGCTGGCATGGTTTTTAGGATATTGTTACATTATGCTCTTTACTGCTGCTAGAAGTACTCAATGGTACAGAGCCTGTAAGGCTACAGCATGTGATGCAGCAGTCTTGATAAATCTAAGTAGGCTTAATTATGATCAGTTCTTGGATGGGACACTACTAGGAAATTTCATTATTAAAATCCAGTAGTAAGCTAGAATTAAGAGTAAACTTTGTGAATCAGTGGGCATTTAATGAGACAACTTTTCTGTAAGTTCCATTGATTTAAATAGGCCTACTCTGGTTGTGATGTACCATTTCAGCATATGTGTTTGACCTTTACTTTAGTCTTGGAAGTCAGACAAGATTTGACTGTAGTGACAATAAATGAGCTAGGAAGGAGAGCAAGCCAGAGAGAGGCGTCTAAATCCTCCCTGGGTCTTCAACTGATCTTGACTGTGATTCCCATCAGCTTTAAGTAAGTAGCATAGCTGGTGGTGAGGAATGATGGGAGTGGTAGTTCAATAACATCAGCAACATCAGAAGCTGCCATACCATGCCCTTGGCTCATCCAGACCAACACTGTCAGCTCTACCTGGCAGAAGCTCTCTAGAAGCTGAAGCAGGTCTGTCTCCTTGCTCTACCGCTGGTAGAAGGTGATTATCAACCTCTGACCAGAACCAACCCTATTTACTTCCTGAGGACCAGTATGTAGAGGGCCACATTTTCCCCAGCTTGCCCATCTGTTTCTGAGTGTCTTGTCTCTCTGTTTTATTTCTGTTGCGCTCCGCTGAGGACTTAAGGTAATAAGTGGTGCGCTTCTCCTAAGCGCCTTACGGTAGCTGGGCTTGTCTCCTTGCCACCGTTCGGTCCTCTGCATTGGGCTCGCCTGTTTCCCAGGCAGGTGGCGGTAGAAGAGGCTGGAGTCGCCGGGTGGCGCGTCCCTCCGAGAGCCCGGTCGCTCGTTCCGCCGGGTGGCTCCGCAGCCGGAGTGCCTCAGACGCCCGTCTCTGCGTGGAGAAGGAAGCGGCACCCGCGGAACTCCGGGCGACCAGCCCCGTTCGCCGGCGCGCTCTGCGGTCCCTGTTGCGCGCAGCCGAGGCGGGCGGCAAGTCCTCCAAGAGACCCGGAGCGCTCTCTCGAGTTCCTGCTGACCCGGACTGGAAGATGCTCGCCTCGAGAAGGTCCTGGGAAGAAGGAGAAGCCAAGGACGGCTCCCACTGGCCTCCGCTGAGGACGAGGCGAAAGCCCGCCGCAGAGGGGCAGGTTCTGGTCTGACTGGCAGGCGCTCGAGAATCTCCGAGCCGGACGGAGGAGCACCGGCGGCGGGGAAGGCGGGAAGGAAGGATGGGAGCGGGCCGAGGGTGGTAGAGCCCGGGATGCTTTTGCCGAGGCCCACCTCCTCTCTCCGAGCCGCGGGTGGAGGCGCCGTTCGTTCTTGCCGCCGGGCTGCCCGGCCCCCTCCCCCCCCGCCCGCCCCCGCCGGTCTTTGGGGTGCTGTGGGCTGATCGGGCTCCCTGCCGGGTCTCTCGCCACCTGCCCCACCTCCGCATGGGAGGAGGACGAGGAGCGCTTCGGTCTTCCCGTCCTGCTATTCCGGGCAGCGCCGCCCCCGCCGTATCCCGAGCAGATCCTACCTCTCCCCTCTTTGCTTCGCGGCGCGGCCGGGGATGGAGGTGCCGGCCGGCTGCGCGGAGCTCCCGCTGCCCCCCGACCTGAAGGACCTGGAGAGCAAAGTCGGGCAGAGACCCCCCGAGGGGCTGCTCCGCTGGCTGCGCGAGGACCCCGCGGCGCATCTGCTCCGCAGCAGCCCCGGTCGGGGGCTGTGCCAGGGGCTCGGGGAGAAGATCAAGGCTCTGAAGCTGGAACTCGTGAGTCCCGCTGGAGGCGATTCAGCCCCTTTCTTCTGTTGCCCCTACCTCCCCCGTGCTTGCCCTTTTCCACTTGGGCGTCCCTGGGTGATGAAAAGTGGCGCGCCTCGAAAGGCTCCCTCCACTTTCTTCCTGGGTCTAGGATGACAAGGGGCTTTGCCCTGCCTGCCCCAGGGATAACTTCCCTCCCTAACTATCTCCGTCTTGGTGTAGATAGTTTTAGACTCCAGAATTATGGGTCCGGAGGCAACGCTCCCTCGAGGGCAATGTGTATTCCTTCTTGCACGTTTTGTTAGCGAGCAGTGTGAAGGTCCACTGGTGTTTTTCACTGTGATAAGGCACTAACTTTTGTCCCAAGTCCTGCCATAGCTTTTCACCACTTGTTTATATTGGTTGATCAAACCAGTAGCTCTCAAACCTGAGGCTCCAGATGTTCTTGGACTACAACTCTCAGAAACCTTAGTCATCAAAGCCAGTGGGCAGGATTTCTGGGAGTAGTGGTCCAAGAACATTTAAGGATCCAGGGGACCATACAGGTGACCCATGCAGACGACATCTCCTGAGAGCCCAGGTACATATTCTTTGGCTTATTACATGTATTCCACCTTTCCACAAGTAAACATCTGGCAGCATCTGTGGGTACCCACCCCTACGTTTTTCACAAAAGTCTTGTGTGTGACCGGATCAAGGTCAAGTTTCACTGGGGTTCAAGAGAGACTTGTATGTGGCTCCCCCCAGGTCCCAGTCCAGCACTGTAATTGCTTGACCACACTTTGCATGCCCTGCATGGTTTCTGATCTCTGAGTTACAATCTGCGTCTTGTCACTGTGTTTCTGAGACATTTATCCTTTTCCCAGTATCCCTTGTATAGCATCAGATTCAATGCAAATTGCTACATGAGATGAAGGCATTTCCCTTTGGGTCTTGGTTGCTTTTGAATGGAGTACTGTATTCACTCTGCCTGTGCCCATGTGTTGTGTTCACCTAGCTCTGGAGGCTCCCCAATCTCCATTGAGCCATTACCTTTTTCTCCCCAACTGATGTTTTCTCTCTTCATTTTTATGTGTGCCCCTTTCCTTTTTCTAGTCTACTTCATGCTGTGGAAGCACAGACCACAAAATAGGGTTCATCTTAAGTGCTTCCCTTTCAACATATTTACTCTCTTGCTGTAGATAAAGATGAACAGGGGCTCCACGGCAGTCTGTACTTCTAACAAGGGTTTCGTCATTCTTTTCAATGCCCTCCTCCATGAGAGTCTAGCTGTAGATTGGTAAGTCATTTCAGAAGGCAAAAGGCAGGCATGCCAGTTTCATGAACTGAGGGTGGACCAAGGGCACTCCAGCCCACAGTATCAGTTTAGCTACAGTCCTTGATTTGGCATTTCATTTCAATGGGAATCTCAGCAGTGGTTCTGCTGAACTGGACCACAGTAGCTTAAATTACCACATACCTTGAATTAATAAAGTCTGTGTATTATGCCATGTATTTCAAAGTTAATTAAACAGTGAACGTCATCCCCTGCCTGGCCCCAAAGAGATGCATACATTTTCTGTTTACTTCTCCAGGCTACACTAAACACGGGTGGTGAGCTAACTGCATGCTATCAAATCATCCTTACAATTGCTTTGATCATGTTGGTTGATTGTGCCTTGGAGCCAGTCAGCAGTAACTTTGATTGTGTAAACCAGCCTTCAGTAGACAAAGAATTTCCTTACAGCCCTTTCCTGTAAGACTGCTTACCTCTCCTCTTTTTCTTTGAACTATCAAATGGAGTGGGTTATTATATCTCAAACATGGAGAGATGATGAAGAATGAAGGTTTAGGTCTTTTCGAAAGGTACCTGGGTCTAAGTCCCATGGAATATAGTGGAACCTATTTCCAAGGAAGCATTTGTAACAAACACTTTGTGGTTGGTGTATGTGTGAGAGAAAGAGAGATAAACAGACAAGAGAGATTGAGGCTGGTATAGTATGAATGCCAAGAATGTAGGCAATGAGCAAAGAAGCCTATGGGCCAAATCTCACCTCAGCCATGGAATCACCAGGTGGACCTGGGCAAGCCATACTCTCTAAGCCACAGCCATTTCTCTGCACTTACTAATAACAGTACTGACTGGCCTACCTTACAAGGTTGTTGTGAAGCAATGCATATTGAGTGCTTCGGACACTTGAAATGTATTACATAAACACTAAATCTCATTTACGAAGTCACAATGTGATTCACAGATTACCCAGTGTGGTACAGTGGACAGGGCAATGGACCAAGATTCAGAAAACATACAGTGGTGCCTTGCAAGACGATGTTAATTCATTCCGTGAAAATCCCTGTCTTACGAAAACATTGTCTTGCGAAATGAAAAAGCCCATTGAAATGCATTGAACCCTGTTCAATGTGTTCCAATGGGCTCAAAACTCACTGTCCAGCGAAATCCTCCATAGGAGCGGCCATTTTCGCTGCCTGTAAAGCAGGGAATCTGTCCCTAAACACAGCGGGGAGCCATTTTAATTACCCGGCGGCCATTTTGAAACTGCCGATCAGCTGTTAAAAAACATCGTTTTGCGAAGAATCGGTTCCCGAAGCAGGGAACCAATCATTGCAAAGGGAAAAAACCCTATTTAGACCATTGTGTGCGATCGCAAAAACTTCGTCATGAAGTGGTTTCGTCGTTTAACGAGGCAATCGTTAAGCGAGGCACCACTGTATGTTTGAATCTCTGCTCACCCATGGAAACTTGCTGTTGGGGGTGGGGCACCACTGGTAAAACCATTCCTTAAATACCACACTTAGCTTGGAAGTGTTCTACTTGATAGTTTATAGTGCCTGATACTTGGAAGCAGTGTTAGTATTTCCAGCAGAGTTTATTCGCAGGTAATTGTGTATAGTATTACGCCTGAATCATTGCCATTTGGAGGCAATGAACTTTCTCCAGATGAAATTAGTTGGTGACATGGTAGTGGGGATGAAGGATACATAAAATCAGTTTCTGTATTTCTATTACAAAGACACAGTGTCACCAATTGTCTCTGGTATACTGTATAGTATACTGTATAGAAGAATCCCTGAAAAAGACCCTGATGTTGGGAAAGTGTGAAGGCAAGAGGAGAAGGGGATGGCAGAGGACAAAATGGTTGGACAGTGTCACCGAAGCTACCAACATGAATTTGACCCAACTCCGGGAGGCAGTGGAAGACAGGAGGGCCTGGCGTGCTCTGGTCCATGGGGTCATGAAGAGTCGGACACGACTTAACAACTAAACAACAGCAATACTGTATAGCGCTCACTAATGCTCTTTGCTAATTGAACTGTGTGCTCTGATTCAGATATATGACTTAGGCTGTTTAGCTGAAAAACCCACTGAACCCGGTGAGACTAAATAGATATGCAGAGGAGCGTGTTGTGTACTGGAAGTATTTCTTGAAAAGGAATTTTGGTTCTAGATAGCCTTCAGGTTACTTCCACTTCTTCCAGGGTTCTATGAGTGTACAGTGAATTTTAAGTTGCTGCCTGTTCGTGACAATCAGCAGCTTTCCTCAAACTGTTTCTGAGTGTGAAAAAAATGGAGCATAAACATAATGTATGCATATTGTCAATGATACCCCGTTGATGGCTTTATTATCTTCCATCTGAAACTTGACATTCAAGTGGCACTTTCCCAGAAGTCAACATCAAATAAAGAACAGTGCAGAAGATGGTTTATCTTTAGATGGTGTCCCCAGGCAGAGAATTAAGCAGAACAACCTCTTGTCCTCCCCGCATTGGTTGGCTCTTTGCCTGGGGGACACATCTGTTCTCCAGCATGAAAAAAGATGCTCTTGAGGTCTCTGAGCCTGCAGAATGGAATAACTGGAGGGGCCTGAAAGTCGCGTTGAGCTCCTTGCATCATATGCTTAGTTTTGAACACCAACAACTTTATTTACAAGGAAGCTGAGAAGTGGGGGGAAGGAAAAACAGTTGGGCTTCATCATCTCACAGCAATGCCAGAAGGTGCTAGTGTGATTTCCAAATAGCAACCCACATGGACTGGGCATCACCTTGCATACAAATGCATTAAAAAAAAGTTATGCATAAAACATCCAAGCCATTCTGACCAATTTTAACTGCCAGCTCTGCTGTCTGAAAGGATGAAGGGAAGTCATGTTGCCCCCACAGAGGAAATTATTTACCCAGATTCTTTCTGGGAGGCAGGTAAATATTAGTGTTTCATGCAGCTGACAACACTAGAATGGCCACTTTCCTCATTGTTGAAAATTAAGAAATGAAAGATGTTGCTTTGCATGGAACATGCATATGCTTATTTAATATCAAAAGGTTAAAAGTTAGAAACCTATATAGTACCATAGTTTAAGTCAAGATATATAGTAAAAGATCTTAGTGTAGCAGGAAAGACTGGGGCCAGATGGCCTCTCTGCTTCCTCAGTCTACTGTCCCACTGTTAACTGTTAATGTGACCTTTGAGGCCTTTGATCTCCCTTCTTGTAATTCAAACCTTCAGCTCTTCAGAGGACACTTTTAAATTGAGGATTGACCTCTGTGAAGTTGGGCACATAACCACTCTAGCCAGCAGAGGGAGATCTTCTTTGACAGAGAGGAGCTACACCTGGGTTGTGCGTTCCTCTTCAGAGGCAGGGGTATAGCCATAGAGATATGTTGGGGATTAGCTCTCCCTCCTGTGGTGTTCCTGTCAGTAGTAGGTGCACCAGCGAACAGAGATGCCGCTGCATCCACTCAATGGAAAGTCTTGCTCCCTCCGTCCACAAGGGCATAGGATCAAGCTCTTTAACCTGGTCTTGCTTTTAGTTAGCTGAGGTGAGTTCTGAAGTTAGATGACCATGAGGTATCATTATGTTCATACCCTTGTACTGCGATGCAGGTAGGGATTGCAGTTTGCCTATGGCTACTAACAAACTATAGTTGAGTAGAGATCTAAACTGAGTGCTTCGTGACTAACAGGTTGCACTTCTGGACCTTAGATTCTACTAGTTCTGATAGTGTTACAGGTG